TGAATTTAATGGTCATCGAATATTCAGAACTGATCCATACAATCAAATTTATAATGCTATCAAACATAAACAGCCAAATATTCTAGCTGGGGAGGACAGAGCAAGTATTACTCAAACGGAGTATCGTCTACAACCGTTAAAAACAAACTTATTTTCTAAAATTTGCTTTTATTACCTCCAAAAATGGCGCAAAAACTACCCGAAAAAGTGTAGCACGTCTTCAATGTTTTTCTTTTCATCAATGACCACCGATTTCTAAATCAACAGTCGAAAGAACTGTTCGAAGATTTCAAGAAGAGGGAACTGTGAAAGATCTTCCGAGAACTGGTAGACCGAAATCTGCAATAATTCCAGAAAAAACCGAAGAAGTGTTACTAGTTTTATTGAAGAACCTTCAAGTTTCTTATTAAAAGCGTCTCAGGTACAAGAAATTGGTAAAAGTTCTGTCCACAGAATTCTGAAAAGAAATAACTATTTCCCCTATAAATTTCACCCAGTTCAGGAATTGAATGAAGGTGACTTGGAAAGAAGGTTGGAATTCTGTGAAATAGTACTTGAAAAATGTGATGTTGACAAAAATTTTCTACTTTCTACTTAAATGGTAAGGTTAATAGGCACAATTGTGGTTATTGGAGTGACGAAAGTCCACGTTTAATTAGAGAAGATCATACTCAGAGACCGCAGAAAATTAATGTACGGGCTGGTATTATGGAAAAGAATGTCCGGTCAATTTTTTATTAATGGAAATTTGGACGGAGACATCTGACTCCAGATATTTATTTGCAACTGTTAGAAAATCAAGTGGTTCCAAGTGTACGTGCCATAATGGTATTGATAATAAGTGGTTCCAACAACGTTCACGATCTCCTTGATGATTTTTATTACAAACCTAAAACCTTCCTAAAAATATTCTATACTTCCTATTAAAAATTAACACTAATAAGTGAAAGATACATATTATTTAGTGATATTTTGTCACTTAATAGAGTAAAATTAGAACGAATCTTTAATAATTTACAGTGCTAATTTTACACTGATTAGATTAGAAATGTATCTAATTAGAGTCACGACAACATCTAGTTAGATTACATATAATACACTGTTATAGAGTAACGATTTTACACTATTTAATAAACACCATCTTCTCACTATTTAGTGTAAAATTTTAATCTATTGGACTACTATATTGGACTGATCTGAACCATGTTTTAGAGTTGATTTTTACTCTATATTTTTTCCTGTGTAACATTTAATATTAGAGGGACACTTTTTTAGCCCTTCTGAGAACGACCCATATATCTTGGTAAGTATCACCTTTATAAAAAAAAACATATTATACAAAAGTTGTTTAATATTTTGTTAGCCATAATAAGGCATTCAATTGTTTTTATTTCCGAAAACAAATGAGCAACGAATAACACTTGAAGTTTTTTAAATGGCAATGTATCCTTTCGTTAGGCTCATTTGATACAGATTTGTTTTCTCTTTACGACGACGTAATAGTATATTAAAAAACAAGTTTCGTAAGACACGCTTGAAATGCACGAATTCAAGTTGAAAAACGAGTGGCGAAGCCACGAGTTTTTGAATGAATGAGTGCTTTAAGTCTTATGAAACGTGTTTTTTATGCTATTTTTTGTAATTCGCGTTTTTATCCTTTTTTTTTAATTAAAATAAAATAAATTTTGGCAATGTAGGGAAATAGGTATGCAGCAGTTGGTAACACCGTAACACTTGAAAATAGAAATTTTAATTGACAATTAGAAACTGTCAAAACACAAAATGTATTCACCTGAAAAAAATGTTTCATGTACACCTCCCAAAATAAGAGAAATTGCTCAGTGTTCAATGTCTTCATCATTGTGGACTTTGTATTCGATGCTAAGATCGTGTTTAAACATCCATAGACAAAAATTGTCACATTGACAACTAGAAAAATTAATGACCCAATGTCATCAACTTGAACTGCTTCCATAAAATGTTACTAAAATCTCATTACAGCATCGGATGCTGTAAGGAGTCTCATTACAGCACTCGTTTGAGTACTGTTAGAGCTTTCGTTAACGTCGCGAATTACAAAAAATTTATTTCTTATATCAGAAAATTATTGAAAAAAAATTTTAAAATTGTTTATTAAGAAAATTTAACTAATAACATGAATCTAGATATCCGAGATCGTCAAGTACCTCGAAGTACCTCGAATTCCGAACACTAGATATAGAACTAGAAAAATTCGAGTTTAGCCGTCTTTAGAGACGTGCGGCTAAACCCGAATGATTCTAGTTCTAGGTCTAATGTTAGTTCTATTTTCAGTAAAAATTACAACAATTAACGCTTAGTAGCAATTAAAACTAGAATTAACACTAGACCTAAAACTAGAAAAATTCGGGTTTAGCCGCGCGTCTGAAGAGCAACATCATGTTTGGACTCATTTTAATGGTTTTTTTAAATAAAGAACACCATGAAGTTGTCCATTTGTCTATTATATGATAACTGTATTCAAATTTAAAATGTCAACTGCAATTTTGACATATTTGTAAGCTTCATTAAAAATCCTTTAAAATGAGTACAAACACGACATATTTATCTTCAATATTAATGAATTATATCATATTTGCAATTTTGACATATTTGTAATTGTCGTGAAAAATCCTTTAAAATGAGACCAAACGTGATTCCATTAGTCTAGTCTAGATATAAGCAACTTCCGGTTTGAAATGTCAATGTCATTTTGACAAATTCTTAATTTTTATAAAAAGTCTTAAAATTTATCACAAAAACAAAAATACAATAAAAAAAATTCAAGATTAAGGTTGGTATTAATATTTAATAATAAAGATAGCAATTTATTTTCATTGTTGCTAACTTCGGGTTTAACTTATTTTATTCTAACTTTTTTGTTTTTTGAGATAAGTGCGTCATGTTAGGACTCACTTTAAAGGTTATTTTATGAAGATTACGAATATAATTATTATAAAATGAAAGTTTCCGACTGTTTCTAGTTCTCGTTCTAATTTTAATTCAATAAAAATATACAACAGTAATATCTTATGCTAACTTGCGCTACCTACTACTGCCAATACAACTAACACTAGACCGAGACCTAGAAACATTCCGATTTACTCCTCACGTCTTTCAAGACGGCTAAATCCGAATGATTCTAGTTCCAGGTCTTGTGTTAGTTCTAGTGATAGTGTTAGTGTAAAACTAGAACTAACACTAGACCTAGAACTATAAATATTCGGGTTTAGCCGTGCGTCTTCAGACTTTTCTAAGTTCTTGTCTAAGACGCCCGGTTAAACCTAAAACTTTCTAGTTCTAGGTCTAGTGTTAGTTCTAGTTTTAATTGTTATTTAACCCTAAATTCTTGTACATTTTAATTGATCTAAAAATATTTTTTTTTATTTAATCCACTTACCTTGCTTATAATTTCATCCATTTACCCATTTTGAATTAAATATAACCTTTAAATCCAATTATGTGTTTTTCATTAAAAAACTTAAATTCCAACGTCAATTTTGACAAGCAACTGCAATATTTGGATTTTAATCACCATGGTAACCGAGTCAAGTTAGATAACCTCAAAATAATAAAATTTTATTCCGATTTTTTTATCAATTCTAACGTAATTTTTGTTAATTTTAAAACATTGCGATTTCATTACGATTATCTCGCATTCATAATAGATTCGTTAATTGTAATTAATTTAAATCGATTCTAATTAAGAGTAATAAATTAAAAATATCTTTTTTTGATTTTATCCACTTACCTTGTTTATAATTCCCTAGATAAACCAATTTTGAGTTAAATACAGCCTTTTAAACTAATTAAATAAGACGTTTTCCTTAAAAAAACTTAAATTCAATTTTAATTTTAACAAGCATCTGCAATATTTGGATCTTAATCACCATGGTAACCAAGTCAATTTGAATAACTTAAAAATAATAAAATTTTAACCGTTAATATTTCGCTTTATATTTTAATATTGTTTTAATTTTATTTTATATCTTTTTTTTAATATTTTTATAATAATACATATTTTATATCCTTTCTAATAAAATTTTCTTTTAAATTTCTAAAATTTATACATTTCAATCAAACGTCAAGTTTAAAAATTTAAGGTTATGTTTTCATCATAACCTCACAAAACATAAAATTAAGAATCCAATATAAAAATGAATGAATCAAATAAAAATATATCAATAACACGTTCGTATTTAAAATCGAAAATTTTAAACGATTCTACATTGATTGGTTATGAAAACGAAACGAATCAAATACAAAAATTAATTGAAAGGACCATAGAGAATGGTGAATCAAATTCGGTGTTGTTAATAGGGCCAAGATGTTCAGGAAAAACCACTGTAAGCACAAACAATCTAATTAATTAATGTTTTTAAATAATATACTAATTCTTTATTTTTATTAATAGTTATTGAGAAATGTATTAAATAATTTAAATAAGAAAAAATTGTTACGGACGAATTCAGTGTTTGTGGAACTTCACGGTTTAGTCCATACAGATGATCGCTTAGCTTTAAAAGAAATGACAAGTCAAATGGATTTGGATAATGCAGTTGATGGAAAAGTTTTTGGAAGTTTCGCTGCGTACGTGGCCCGA